AGTTCAGATAAGCCGATTCGTGGCGTAGAATCTACGTATTATTATTCTCGGTGATAGTTATCGCACACGTTCCGACTTACGGCTTCGAAACCTTCGCTATCAGTCGTTCCATCGACTATTCGATCTCGGAATAACACGGTACAAGTTTGTTCCCAAGCTCCGTATTCCTCATATTCATAGACATTCGCGGTATCCAGCCGTAGACTTCGGGAAATCGTATGCGATCGCGGGCGAGTAAACATTCCGCGAAGTGCAACGTACTCTTTCGAAGAGATTTCGCGAAGTGCACTTCCCCCATTCTTCGTAGGCGCGGAATATCGGTTCCAAGAAAAGTTGGCCTAAAGTCGAGTTGTTCTATTCGAGAGACGGAATCGGGAATGTAGCTGGCAGCGGCCGCGATATCGAAACCGCGAGCGGCCGTCGCGCCGCCCGGTGAAATCGAAGATGCGGCGAAAGCCCGACTCGAAGTTCAAAGGATAGACGGATAGGATCGGCGCGGAGCGGCTGCTCGTTCTCTCCTATCGAGCGTTTTGCTCTCGCGTTACGCCCGTGGAAAGTCAAAGTGAGGGAAGGGAAGGAGGCCGGGGCGGTCGTCGCGACTTTCACGCCGTCGTTGTTTCTGCTCGATCGCGTCGCGAGCATAATCGTGCCGTTGCGAGCGTCACGCGTCGCCTTTTGTCGGGGAAAAGCTGGCCGCGGTCCGCCGCGTTCGTGCCGCGAGAAACGGGACAAGAAAGCCATCGGAATTCTGTGTTTCTGTGCGCGGGTCCGTTTCTTTTTCGAAAGAGGATACGCCGAGCCGCCGGGAATCGGAGTCCGTCCGACGATCCGCGCTCGCGACGCCGAATTCGGGACGATCTTCGATAACGCGAGGGATCGGCGTTGATCATTACGCGTCCAGTCGCGCCACGATGCATCGCGACCAATGAATTAGACCGACCAATGGAAAGTGCATCGAAACTTTTGTCTCGTGACGCTGATCGAAGATCACGCGAGAGGGAACACGTCAACGACGAACCACCGGAGGCGGATAAACGCGAGCTAGTTCGGACGATCGCGAACGGTTCTCGTATCGAGAGGACACTCGAGTGGGGGCCTCGTTGACAGACCAGCTACATTTTTCGGGAGAAATCGAGACACTAAATCGATCCACCTCGACGATGCTTTTTCGCGCCGAGAGAGCTACTGCGCCGACAACCGACAGACCGCTCGCGCGTCCTCGAATTCGAAGCCAGCCTCGTTTTCCTCGTCGATCGCCGATCGACCGTTTCACCGTGGAAAGAGGGCGAAGATTCTTTTGGAAATAGTTCCGGAGTAATGGACGTTTCAGAGGGGAACAGGGTGGAAGGAAAGCGGAGGGACGAGCGACGGAATAAGAAAGGAAAAGGAGAAATGAGAGGAATAATTAATTAGCGGACGAATAAGGAGCACGAAGGTCGGATCGCGATACAGGACGTCCCAGCTGGTTCCAGAAAATTGGGCCGAGATCGTCGCGCCGGCTATATTGATATGATAATGGCGCGCATTATATTCGCGGCTCGTGCGTCACGCAATCGCCGCGACGCTCGCGTCAATTCTGGGGCCGTCAACGAGCAAATCTAATTACTTACTCGACGCTCGGCCAGCGAGGAATTCCTCGCGCCGCCACCTCGCCGAACGGTTTCCCCGGCGAATCGACCGCCGAACTGATTTTCGCGTGGCGACGGACGCCCGTCGAGGTTCCCGGTGATTCTTTTTCTGGTGCTTTCGCGCGAATACCCGGAGTGCACAGTGATTCGTGGTCGCGGGTAACTCGAGTGATCAAGGTAGGCTAGGTAATTGGGAGAAGGAATCGAAGTGTTCGACGGTTTTAACGGGATCGATCGAAATTGGATTCGGTTGGTGGAAACGAGACGGGGGAGACTCGATTAACCGACGAGAACTACCGAGCAGTCGAGCTGACTTCTCAAATTAGTATGTAGGAACTCGAAGAGTGCCTCCGTCGAGATTTAAATTCACTTGTAATTCCGTTTGCCTATTACTGAATCTATTTCTTTAGCGATTGCTCCGAGAAGCACCCGTTATATTCTGAATAATTGGAAAAAGGCAACTGGGGAATCATATTCATCCGACGATGACAACAGTAATTTGTACCAGTGTTCCTAAAAGAAGTTCCTAAAAATATTTACCAAACATTTGACGCGCAAATCTAGCGTTGCAGCTATAAATGCACGAAGATCCGCGGTCTCGTTTGCTATTCGAACGACAAACGTTTTTCTTGAAATCGGTCCCGTTGCGACGGCGACGGCGACGGGGACGTTACGTGTCTGGTTTTTTCGCGGATCGCAGAATCAACGGTTTTGCTTTTCGCGTTGTCATCAGCGCGACGTTTAATTAACGTTTAATTGCATCGTTATCGAACGCACGCGTCGCGGCGGTTTACGCAACGGCGCTCGCGAGTCGGGGATTTGGCCAGAGTTCCGTGAAATTCCGTCGTGCCGAAAATCGTCAACAACCGTTTCTCTTTCTCCTGCGCTCCTCTTCCCTCGAATTCTCGTGACGCGAGGCGACGCGACGCCACGCGCGCGCGCCCGCCATTGTTTCGCAATTCGCGACCGGCCGAGTCACGTTCCGCTTGTTGCGATCGCGAGAAGAAACGGTCGGCCGAAAAAAATTCTCTCGAGGAAAAACAATTTCGCAAAAGTTTCCGCTACATTCGAATCTGCTCCTCGCCGCTGAATTTCCGCGTTGTTTTTTTAAATCGAATAAGAAGATCGATGTCGAACAAAGTTATTCAACGAGGCAAATGACTGGACGATAATGTTAGCGCAAAAATCTGGTTACCAAGCAGCTAATTACTTGCAGTTCAATCTATCTTCGTCATGGAAGAATATGCGAGGCAACTGTAGATTCCGTGTAACCGTACAACGCTGTTTACGACGGAAAATTTATCGCGCGAGAAGACAGTCGGTTGATAATGGGTCCGTAGGATGCTCGATGTACTTTGATTCTATCCGCGCAACTAATAAGAAATTAGTAATCGCCGCCCGACTCTGATTAACATTCTCGGTCAGTAAGACCGGTCGCCTTCTTCTTTGTCCTCCCGTGTCACGATCGGACCTTGACTTTTCATTCGACCCGATGGATTCCATTTGAAATCCTTCAGAAATCAATAGAGAAACCCTTCGCGCTCGCGTGACGCGCTCGTTTGATCGAATCAAACGAATCCTCGGCGATCGGGCCTCGCGGCGAAGCCGGAGCGAAGAATTTTCGAAACGTCCTTCGGACGCGAAAAGAACGGCACCAGTTCCGAATCGCCTCGCCTCCGGAGCGGCCGGCGAGCGCTAAATGGCAGCGCTAAGAGCTAGCCGCTCGACGACAGCGCGTTTATCGATAACCGAATGCGATAACTATGTTAACAGCCGGCCTCTACACGCATGGAACACGTGGCTGCGGTCGGGCAACACAGTAGTACGGATAGCATTGCTGGTACCGTTAGCCGTGTGCAGTACCGTTCGCGAACTGACAAGAACACTGTCGAGCGATGCGTTCCTGCAACTCTTATTTCGCCGATTCCGGATTAACCCTTCGATACCGGAGATTTCATTTAGCTCTCTCGCCCGTCGACGGTCAACGGCTGCGATCGTCCACCGGAAAATCTACCTTATCGCGATCAGCACGTAGATTCCTATTTTCCAGGGCATAATCAATGGAATTGCCGTGGAAAACGGTTTTCCTCGGCAAACGTTCTCTTATCGCGCATTCCGTCCAGTTTTCCACTCGCTTGACGAACACATTTAGAACTACCTTACCAGGCAAAACGACTGGTTTCGGTTTGTTTCGTAATTATTGATATCTTAGAAGCTTTTAATATTCGAAATGATTTGGAAAATAGTTTCGCTTGAATGCTAGGTTCCGAGGAAACGAACAAATTATCGTCAGAATTTTTATAGAGATTACATACGAATCGTTTTAAATGCTCGGTAGCGCTAGTATTACGAAGTCACCGAATTAATTGGCGTACCGTTAAAAAGAACGTAATATTCACTGGAAAAACGGCGCGGCGCGGGGAGTGGCCGGCGCATCGGTGACGAGGGAGGACATAAATAACCGCAGGAGAGAATCCGCGCGATCGGCTTAGGCTGCATAGGTGTTTCACGGTGAAGCTACCTGCGGCTCTCGAGATCGCCTCTCGCGAGTGAATGTTCCATTGAAAGTGACCATCCTGGAGCATTGTCAAACTCGTCGTCGCTCTCGTCGCGCACCCACTTTTACTCTGAACACCGATAGTTTTCCTCTCGACTGAACGAGGCGAATCTTACGATCGCGTAAACTTTGTATCACTCGAAGAGAAACTGTGCACTATTCTTTTAGATGAAATTGTAGTTACATATTTTGGAATTCGTCTAATAATTGAAGTTAGAAATTTCAGTCGATTAAAATGTCAGCGTTGATTTAGGCGACTCGTTGCTCCGACTGGTCGAAGATTCAACCGCGCTCGCGGATAGTAATTTCGGCGCGGTTCGATCAAGATCATTAGCGATTCGACTGGGCGCCGATTACCGGCAGCCGTTTTGCAACGTCGGCCAGTTTCGAGCGTTTTCCGGACCGTTGCTCCGTCCGCTCGAGCATACGACCGGGGTACGCATTGTTTCTCGGTCGGGAATTAAGCGGTTGCCGCGATATTCGGTGCACTCGAGCGACGCGTGCTTTTGGCAACGTTCCCGCACAGCGCGGCCGCCTGTCGACGAAACCCGAAAATTCGGCTACTCGCACGAAAATTGAAAGTTAGCAATCTGTTGCTAAGTAGCCAAAATCATTCTCACTTGACAAACAACAATTCTGTGCGAATAAATCTAGAGAAACTTCATAATATCCCCATGAGATAAAAGAAATACAGCCACCGTGTTTAGCTCTATATCTCACAACTCTCCGAAGCGTTTGCTGGTCGCATAATTTATCGAGTTTTCTTCGGAAAACGGACGTTTCACTACTGTGCGGCGCAAAACTGTACTTTCTAGAGGAGGCACGATCTACGTGACGAGCAGTTTTCGCGAGTGCACAGCATTTTAAAATTCAGGCACCCACAGAGCGTAGGACACGTTCCAAACGATTCCTTATTTTCTATAACTTGTCTGCAACTTCTGTACTCGACCAAGTGCAGAAGTGAACAGACAAGGAGTTGAGAAATGGAAGATCCACTGATCGATGACGCGTCAAGGCTGTTAAGCGTGAGCCACATCGAGACGATAATGCTTTATCCCGATAACGATCCGAATTCGCCGAGCGCGAGACGCAGATCAGAGGACAGTTAGCGCTCGGTCGCGTCGGTCCGGTTAGAAATCGAGTCGTGGGTGGTGTCGTTGCTCGTTACGGGTCGGCCGGCCCGTTAAAAGGAGCAAAAGCCCGAGCAGAACCGGTGGAGAACCCGGCTTTCTTGGATCGCGTGCCCGTTTCTTATTAGCCTACATCGATCCGGCGTCTTCGACTTCTTATTAGAGTGTGACGTATCGTCCAAGTGAACTTGAACGACGCTGAATCCAGCGTGTGTTGTGCTCGCGTCCTGGATCCAGCTGGAACGCCCGGGATCCTCGAATCTCCGACCGCCGAAAATCGTGATCCACCGCAAAATCCGCATCCTCCTCGCGCCGCTCGAAATTACTCGAAAGAATGCGTTCGATTGGACGCCTGCGAAGATACGAGTCTATAGCCTCTCAGCTGCGATCTCAAAGGAGTCAACCCTTTGCACGCGAAACTTTCCCTCTGGAAACATCCAGCATTTTCCGGTGAGACTGCGACGGCATTCTTTGAAGTCGGTTAACGAGAACGCGTGCGAAAAGAGACAAAGCCATCCGGTTGGAATATTTCACGTATCGATACGCGATTAAGCCCAGGAAAGGAAACTCGAGGAAATTCATGTTTTATAGAACAAACGAGCGAATCCTATGGTAACTAAAGAGAACGTTATTTGTTCCATTGAAGTGTCGGGAAATCGGAAAATATCGAACGATCTTAACCGCCTCTGCTTGAACGACTGACACACGAAGCTGAATATTACGCGTAAGAATATTACTCGAGGACTGCATCGAATCGGTTCCGGTTTCCGTCGCGAAACAGCCGGATCTCCGTTCGATTTTCGCTTTTAAGATGATCCGCGGAAAAGCGTGCTGCCCGTGGAAAGATCCGCGCCGCCTAATCGCGACATTAATGTATCCAGGGCGTTCCGGGGAGATAGCCATCTGCCGCGATCACCGTTTCGAGCGGCCATTGCTGGATCCCCGAGGCGCCGAACGGCGATCACCGGCGAGATTTTCGGTCTGCCGCCTCTCGCCGTAGGTAATTCGCGTCGCCGGCGAGAATTGAATGAATATAGGTGGACCTCGCGCGCGATTCAAAGGTTAATCGAAGCGGCTGATGTCTCTGTGGGAACGGATCGCTCTGGAGCCCGTGCTCCGCTCGTCTCCATTGCTCCCTCCTCTTCTCTCCTCTTCTCTGAACGAACGACCTTAACGAGTTTGTTTAACGCGTCGCGTCAGTGGCCATCAGAATTTTCGCCGTTCCTTAGAATATCACTTTCTCGTGACGCAGACGAATCTTATCGGAATCGTTATCGTTTTCAACGAGATTTCATATCGCTTACGTTGCAGCGTTGTCCAGCTGCTCGAGTTATCGAATACCTCGATTAGACGTCGATCTTCTGATTGTAACGGTTCTCAAGACATTTCGAAGCAAGGACGAGAATTATTCGTTAATCTTATGCTCCTCGTTCGATCTGTACGTTTAACACTTTGCACTCGGAAGTTTTTCACTAGAAATATTAGCATTCTCCGATGAGATAAAGACGATATTTTGTGAAACTAACTCGAAGAGATACGTATATTGAGGAACAAAGCTATTTTATCTCAATATTTTTGAAATTCATGAGTTGTACAAAGTATAATATTAAATATTAAATTTTATAGTATTACTGCATGAAATTAGGCGGTGAGAGTCACACCTCGAGTGCAAAGGGTTGACATATTACCGAAAGATAGGCACGCGGAGACCGGTAGCAAGTGTCTCGCGGTGTTCGCGAACGTTGCTGTACGTTTCGAGGAAGCGGCACAGGTGCCACTCTAAATGGGTTAACCTTTGGCGAACCGACCTCGGACATGCCTAGGCGGCTCCTGTTCGCGCGGCCGCGCATCTAGAGACAACCGGCGAGCTTTCTCCCGATGGCTGACTTTTACTTTTGCCATGGGCATATTGAACACCTCTCCAGAGGCCTAACACGCGCGTGTACTCCGCGGCGAGCGTGACCCGTGCATCCTGCGGCTGTTGCTCGGCGGTGTCGAATTCTAATCGAATTTCTACTTCCGGCCTCTGTCGCTCTAGCCTAGTAATATCTAAACTCGCTTCGACCTTTAACCTCCCGCGCTGCGAATTCGTTCGGAGATCCGATAAACTCGCGCGGACAATTTCGTTTTCGCCGATTTTACACGCATAAAAACCGTGAATCGGTTCCACGATGATGCAAAACGAAGGACGAACCGCTGGCGGGTAAAACCGGTGCGGTTCGATACTGAAAACAGCGGACGACAATTTGTCGGAGTGGCCTTTCGCGTAAACGCGAATTCGTTATCGCGACACCGCATTAGCATATACGTGAAAGTGCACCACCGGTTAGTGGAACGTGATTATTTTTCTATCCTCAGAGCTCGGTCGCCGGTTCCGACGCCGCGAAAACCGTTCGAGAAGCACTGCTGGTCGATCTATCGCACGCTACGCGTTATCATTCGCCCGGACGTGGACCTCGATTTTCCCGTACATTCGACGTATCGTTAACTCCTTTCCCCCATGGTTTATTTTGCAACTGCTTTGTTACGAATAGTTCACTGAAAAAAGGAGACAAATTCTGGACATATTATCCATGTCTGCTCCGAAGTATGATTCACAACAGAAGAATATTTGATTTGGGTCGACAAGGACCGAGTGATATTTATGTTTGTGAAATTCTGCTTAAAATCTTCACGAAATAATAGGACCGCACAGTCTAGTCAGAATGTTCAAATACTAGAATTTGAAGAGAATCGAACTGAGTGTCGCGTGTTTGATTCGGAAGATTTTTATCGTCTTTTAGTTATTCCCAGTATTTATTCGCGCGTTACGATACGAATGCCGCGTTGAAAAGTAAAACGACAAGTCTCCTCGGCCAACCTAATTGTTTTCTCCTCGCTCGATTATCATTCGCCCGACGAGCAGAGATTAACGGGTCTTGTTTACGCGCCTTCCATCGGAGATAACAGATTTCTCCGGCGCGAAATAATATACGCCATTACGGTTTATCGGTGAAATCGAAGCGATCGCGCAGCTTCTAACGCGACGGTCCCGAAAACGTTGGCGACCAGCGCCGGAGGTACATCACTCTGACCCCAACCGCCGCGTTATCGAACGATCCGATAAAATTGAAAGGTGTCGGCTTCGATATCCTGGGTAAGGATAAATAATTCGATGCAAAGTATTACCGGTGTTCTCGTTTGCGGGTGAAAGTGCGGAGTTCGACCCGAACGCGCCGCTGTAACCCCGAAAGAACAATGCTAAGTGAGAACGACGCGCGCGCGCGATACGGCGACCATAATTCTTCCCGTTATTCGATCATCGCGCTGTCTCGATCTTCTGGAACGAAAGACGCTCACGAAGAATCACAATTTACGAAAAGTCTTCGTAAAATTTCTCTGTAAAAGCTATACCCGAGAATGGATTAAGATTTCGATTGGTTTATATTTCAGTTTAGGAGTCTGTCTTTGCAGTAACTCTAAAAGAAGAAAGTAGGAATTGCTCATTTTGAACACCTGGCAGTTCAGCGTCGAATCGACGATTCCCTATCGGAAGAAGATTCGTATGAATCAAGGGGAAAGTTCGAAATCATGATTTCCACGCGTTTAACCTCTCGAACTCAGAAATGGTTCCCTCGGAGTCCGATGCTCGATACGACGCGTCGATACTCAGGAACGTTTACCGAAGCTCCGCGTTTTATCGAATCGCGGCGGATCGAATTTCGTTTTTCGCCGCGTAGAGCATCGGAATTCCTGTTGCGCGAATTGACCTCTATTCCGGAGCGGCGGAATAGCAGCGAACGGCGAGCGGCGTTCGGCGAGCGGCGAGCGGTAGCCATACGGACGCGTTCAAATCACCGGTGGGAGGTCTCTGCTCCACCTTTCGTTTGACTTTGACAGTTCCATTATGGTATCGAAGCTAACGGCAAACAGTACGGTGGCCGACGCTGGTGAATCAACGCGCGCGCGCGCGCGCCGACATGCCGAGGTGCTCTCCTCGTTGTTTCCTCCTCGACACCGCCTCGATAAGCGTTATTGAGCCGCGTTCCCGGTCACACGCAGTGCACCGTTGTCCCGGGACCGCGTCGCGACGCCTCCGTCCGTTTCTCTCGCGCCGCGTCGCCTCCGAAGCCGGATGAATGGGCGTGAATCGGATTAGAAAAGGAATTCGAGTGCCACGACCGAAGGATTCCCAGTTGGAACTCGTCCCGAGTGCGTCGTCTCGCTTCAGTTTCCCGTAGTTCCGTTTTGCTTCAGTGTCTCCGCAGTTTTTCCACCTGTGTCGCGGAATCGACGAGCAGCGGTGGCACAGCCGGACGATTCAAGATAGCCCATCAGTGATTAAAACCGACACGGCCGCCGCGAGTGTAGCGGTCAGCGTTCCTTAATGAGAACACCGTCCCCGGTTCATCGTTTCAACGGCGGAATTATCAAAAAGTACCGCTAAATTTTCGGAAAGTTCTACTTTTAACCGTCCGGTCGCAGGCGCGCGCGCGTCGCTCACCGTTTTGTCGCGAAACGAGAAACTCGGCGAGCGGTAATCGCTCGCGACGACCGATTAAAAGCGCTTTAAACTTTCTTCTCGCCCCGCTCGGACGCGGCGAACGTCGGTGAACGCGGTTAGATACTACTCGCGATAGTAGACCGCGAATCGAAGAAATCGCTCGGTCGGAATGGCCTGCCGGTCGACCGTCCCGCCGTTAAAATGCATGAGAATCCGTCGGTCGTGGTCGCTCATCGTTATTCCGACGCTTTTTTTCGTACGTGAGTCCCCGATACCGAGCCAAACAAGAACGAACGGTATCCATTGACACGTTCTAGTTATACACGCGGCCGCGCGCACGCCGACTAATTACGACTTTTTCCTCGCCGCGGAGTCGCGAACCCGATCGAAGTCTTGCGCGCGCGGGTAATTGCGACCGCGTGCGCGATAACCACCGGGAACGGATCATAAAATTATTAGACTGCGGATCTTCGTGGAATTACGGATCTTTATCGAGCGAACCCGAATTAAGCATCGACGAGCGTCGGTCCGAATCCGAATTCTCGAAATTCTCGAAATTCATGATGTTCGAACCGAAAACTCACAACGTCTGGTAAAGTTGGATAGAAAAGATCGAGTAATTCCGGGCGAGATGGCCGGATCTCGTTTAAATCGTCGAATCTCTGTATCCTCGATTCCATTTGTTCAAGTATCACCGACGTTTCTGACGTAATAGTTGTTTCGAAGAAAGTGGGCCATCTCTACCTGACGTACCCCATGGGAGTCAGTCAGGTCTGTTTGAGCAAGGAATAATCAGTGTTTCCCGAGCGTTCCGTTGGTTCGGTCGGTTGGCTTCGAACGGCGGCCGCTTCCGCGACTATCGCGTGCATTTGGCCGGATCGCGTGCCCGCGCATATTAATCGAATGTCATTAGAAAGTTGCGATCGGTTGTCAATTAACCGGAAAAGAGGGGCGAGTGAAAACGACTTCGCCTAGCCAGGCAGCCGGTTCGTCAATTCGAACGAGCCGCTGCTGTCTGCCCGGCAAATAAGAGGCGATCGATTCGTCCGACTTTCAAAATTCGCGTCTCGATGCTCAGCTAATCGTATCCTCCGTTCGGCTCGCAGCGCAATTACGGCGAACCGCGCGGTTCGATTAACCGTGTAACCAGTGGGATCGCACCGATGGCTTCTGAATACTCGAACTATGTTTCCAGCCGATCTCCTTTTAACATCGAATGGAATTCGTAACGGTTTCGAAACAGAATTCAACGAACGTGCTACCTTTTCCTCTCGCAATCAATTATTATTTCTCGATCGTTTAATCGTCACGACAAACATTTCGCTGTACAACAGACGCACCACGAACGTAGAACTCTGATTTATCCTAGTCACTTACTCGAAACAACGCAGTTTCAAAGGAGATAATCGCGAAAGAAGTCGCAAGGCGACCGGTCAACCGGTCGTTTCGTTGAACCGTCGAATATCTCGATTCTCCCGATCCCCGAATCGATCCAGCAACGAATCGAAAGGTTCGAACCTCTCGAGGCTTTCGTGGAAAGCAGGAATATTATCCAGCGAACGCCTACGTTGAAGGTTGATCCAGTTTCGAGACGTTGAAACGTTTTTCTTCCTCCGGAAGCAGGTCTATTGGGTACCGAAATGTACCTCGGATAGTGAGACCGGGCATATCGGCGAAACCGAGGGGCACCGTCGTGACGAGCGGCTCGCCGATCGCGATGAAAACGAGCCGCGAGGTCGCGGGTGAACAGAGTGGCCGCGGTCGGTTCAGTGAACAGTGAGACCGTTGGTGTTCGCGATGATCGAGCCTAGGAGCGACCGGGTGCCCGCCACCCAGACCAAGCACCACTGTTATCAAGTGATAAGGACCACCAGGGTGCACCAGAGTTCGCGGTCCTCCAGGATGGTCACCGTTCAGGAGAAGGTCATCAGGTCCCGACTGCAGTTGGGATACTCGACGCCCACCAACTTCATCAATCGGTATTTACCCCTATTCCATTCGTCGACGATCCGGGGAACTATCGGGACCCGAATCTTTCGCGTAATTTTCCCGATCGATACAAAATTCCCGTGCCCCAGTTTCGCGTTGGTTCCCGATGAAATCGTCGTTAACTACCCGAGAATCGTTCGAAACCAGAATCACTCGCCGACTTTCGCGCAGGCAGCCTCGAATCCGATTTTTACGAAGGCTCGGCGCTCCGGTACGCGAACCACGCGCGCCCCAATTCCTCGTAACTTCCGCGGGAACAGCTTCCGGCTATTTTATGGAAATTTTTCATCCGGAGGAACTCCCTCGCGGCCGTAACTTATTCACGGTTAATTCTATGCGCCAAAGGGAGACCCTTCCGCGCGTTGATCGCGTTCCCACGCGACGCCTCTTACAGAGTCTCCGCAGAACTTTGTCTCCGACTGTTCGATTCGTGCAAAATGGAAGAAGAACGAACGGGCCGAGCCGAGCGGAACGGTGCCGTTCGATACCACGCTTTCCCATTTCGATTAATTGACTTTCTTCTCTCGTTTTCGTGTTCCTTGAAGCAGCGACCGACGGAAGTTACACGCGTTCGTCAGTTTTCCATGAATTCATTCGTCGAAACGTAAGACGATCCTCTCGCTGGTAACTCGAAAGAGGAAGCCGTCGATCCGACGCGCGATCTTTTCGCTTTTCCTTTCTAAAACAACTCTTTCTTCGACGCTACTTTGGCTCGGTCCGAGCCATCCGGTACCTCCGGCGTTAAACGATTCTTTCTGCGATCTGAATCTGTCGTAAGTAAACTTCCGAAAAAAGACATCGAAGCCCAAGGAACGGAAAGATTTCCGAACGTTTCGAGAAAGCCAGCAGTTGAGGAAAGGACGAATGCCAGGGTTAATTGCATCCGCGCCGAGAAATCGCCGGATGAACGGCTCCGCGCTCGAAAAGAGCCGCGCGGGAAGCGAAGATCGCGTCCGAGCCGAAAGTTTCGGAAACTATTCGTCGACCTATTTGTCAGTTGACTCGCGTCGAGTCAACACGGCGCGGCGAGAGAGGAACGAGAGAGACAGGCGGAGAGAGGAACAGTGGTTCGTTGGCTTCCGCCGGCCGGAAGAGCCGCGCGCGCCGCCTCGAATTCATTAAAGGAATTATTAAAGCGTGCTATATTACCGGTTCTCCATCCGCGACGGGTTCTACCGACTAATTATCATCGAGCAATTAACAACCGTTGATTGCCATTAACGGTGCGCGGAGAGTGTGCCTCGGGCCCGCGCGATTCCGCCTCCGCAGCCGCGCGAAGTCGCTTCCTTCGGCCCTGGAACGGAACCCGCCCGAAATCCCAGGAAATTTCATCGGCGAAACGACTAACGATCACATTTTCACCACCGTTATTACCGTAGTATTTACAATTAACGCTTCTGTGAATTTCTTTGCGCCTGCTATCCGTGACACGATATTTTTTCGCGGAAAGTAAACTTGAAATACTTCCGGTGCGTTCACACCTAGCAGTCCTGTGTCAGACTCGACAGTCTATTTTATTGCAACCTCTACCTGTTTTAACAGTTTTTTCTACATTTGTAGTATCACAATTGTACCATTTAAAGGTGACATTTCAATGACTCCAAATATTCTTGAATAAATAAATAGAGCGTGATATTAAGCTGTAATCGAATGACCCAACGTCGACGCGAACCTCAAAGTGAGAAACCAAGAGCACTTCGGATCGCAAAGGGTTAAGTTTCCCCTTTCGAGCGGTCCCCTAAACCACGTTGCACGCTCTATTTTCGCAATTCGAAGTCACAACGATTCGAAGCACCGCTATCTTCTCCTCGGTATAAATTAGACCTCGAACTGTTGAAATTGCCCTCGCGTTTTTCGCTCGTGCCGCCTCGCTCTCCGCTCATCGTCGGTCGGGTTAGGTCGAAACGGGATCTCGAATAACGCAGATGTTCGCCGGCCAGGTTTTTTTCATCCCCGATCGGAGCCGCGCGTTTTCTTTCGACGCAGAGTCTCGAATGGTAGCTCGATTTTTTCTCTGGTTCGCTCGGTTTCGGTATTCGAGCGGTCCCCGCCGCGATAGCCCGGCTCCTTCTCTCGCGTGCGCGCGCGAAATAAACGAACGGCGGATGGTCAAATGAGAAGAAATAACGAGCCAGACTCGCGCGGTGAATATATTCCGTAGAACCGAGTTTTCCGCGATACACAGGGGGCGTGCGTGCGTGCGCAGGCCGGCGCGACGGAGGAGCGAGAGGAACGATCGCGTTTCTAATTTAACCCCTTAACGGTTGAATAAAACGACGAAATCCTGCCGGGGAAGTGCATATTTCCTCCTGATAACGGTTCTGAGCGGCACAGAGGTTGGAAAGTTGTTTCCTCGTCGATATTACACGGCAATTCGTGCACTTTACGTAACAGTTTACTAATTCCATTAGGCTCGGGAAGCTTAACCCTTCGCAGTCACGCCTGAGAGGTGACTCGCAGTCCTCGGTTTCGTTTGGTACACGAGAACTATGAAATTTTACGCAATCGGTATAATCGGATGATAAAATCGGTATTTCGAAACGCGGAATAATGAATATTCCTAGCAGAAAGACTTTCACCGCGAAGAATCAACACTAAAGCTACCAGCCGAATCAAAATGACCCATTCCTGAGTTCTTTTCGCGATTATTAACAAGATAGACGTTTCCTTGAGAAATCGTTGAAAAAATCAACTTAGCGACACGCAAACCGAGTTCTGAATCAATCGAAGTCTCGATAGATACAGTCTTGGAGTTTCTATAGAGAAATTTGGAATAGTCAGTTGATCTACTACGAACAATGTCCAGGCCGATGTTTCCGTTTCCTCGAGAACATCGTTCGCGACTTCCGGCTGCAGAAGGAGCCCGGAGAATCGGAAGCCCTTCTTGTTTCCCGTCGCGCGCGTCGTTGCCGCACCTGTAGTTCCGAGCAGAAATCGACGCCTACGCTGCGTCAGCGGTCTCGTAAAGGTTTCCTAGACCGGTGTTCCCGCAAAGTGTTCCATTGACGGCGGCGGATAGAGAGGGGCCGAGGGGAGGCGCACGTTTGACCGAGCCCGCTGGAAAAAACACGGAGCCAGGTGCATGTTTCGAGGCACTTCGCGGCGGAGTTGCGCGCGTGTGCGTCGTACGTGTGGCCCGGAGCACGCGTGCATCGCGGCACGAGTCCCGAAACACCCGACAGGCAGATGTTCCGACTCTTGCCAGGCTTTAATGCCACCCTGGCTCCAATTTATTTCTCTTGCCGCAAACGGGGGAGAGAGAGAGAGGCCACCCTCGAACGCGCGCCATCAGCTTGCCGCGATGTTGCTTCTCGAGGCGTGTACAGGGCGTTTCAAAAACCGAACGACCACTTCAGTATAATTGTACAGCTTTGATTCCATGAAAGACGCAAGAAACCGCTCGAGAAGAGGCTTTCGGATTGTTTACCGCATCGTGTTCTACTCGCTGCGGAGGTGAATTGCCCCTGTGCCAAGATCTCGCGAGAGATCTTAAAGATCCGAATAGACGAGCGATCCTCCAGCGAGCATCGCGAGCGGATCGTTCCCCTCGCTACGAGCAGCTTCAGTTTGGATTGTCGAGGAACTTCTGCGAGGCATGCTCCACTCGAAGCGTTCTCGCGCTCTCTGCGCCTCCTCTTCTGCGGATCGAGGATCATCCGGTCCGGGGTTGCGTCGGTTGCTCGCATTGTGTTGCGACGAAACGGTTGGCAGGTACTTTTCCTGCTGCCCCTGGCACACCTTTCCCCCCGCGTTTCGCCGAAAGAAGGCTCGGTCCTCCTGCCGTAGATCTCTCGACAATGAAACCGACAAAGGAACCTGAAATCTCGGAGTCGCCGGCTCGAGTATCCGCCGTTCGTCTTCCACGTCGAATTCTACCCCCGAGTAGACGCCTATTCGTTTCTCGTCGCATCACTCGATCACGCGACGTTCCAATTAGAATCTACAAAGACCGCGCAAAGCATTCGCATCCGGCCGGAGCGGAGAACGGCAGAAGAGTTGAACGGTCTCGCGAACGGCGGCGCGGAAGCGCCGAAGCGAAAGTGAGGCGTCGCGTCGCGCCGCGTTTCCCGTCTCGACGGAAAATCGTCGCGCCGAAACAAAAGGGGAGGAAAAAGGAGGCAGGGCCCCGTGTTCGCGGCAGTCTCGATAAAATCCTCTCGCGGCGGCTGCCATTGTGCCACGGCGACGAGCGGCGACGAGCGGCCGTTTGACTCGGACGCGTCGAAAGCGAGAGCCCCGGGGACAATGGGCGACGCCGAAGGGTTGAAAGAGATAGTCTGGCGAGCGAGCCACTCGTTCGTTTAGGCCAAGACAAAACCCTCAGACGCGGACGACGCGACGCGGGCTTCAGGTGAAGCGCATCAGCTGCCACTTGGACACGCGCCATAGAAATCCGCGCTGTTTCCGTGCTGCGCTCGCTCGTCCTCCCCTCTGTTTCTTCTTCGCTTCGCCTCCCACCTTTCTTCCTTCCTTCCGTCCAAGCTTTCTTCCTTTTGCTTTCTTCCCCGGCCCTTTTTTAGCCGGCGCGCGACTCTTTCGAGTGGAATAGACGCGGGGGCGAAGCCGTTCTTCGGGAACGAAACTTTCCAACGAGACGCGCATCATCGCGCGGAACGAGACTTTCTTCGCCGGCTCTGCCGATGAATCGTTGCCGCGTCTATTGTCGTGAATTTCAGCGTGTCCTGTGATGTTACTACCTCTGTCCCTGCGAGTTTTCCGCTCGCGAGCGGTCTGCCGACCCGTAGCTACGGTACACGGGTGAATCCGTCGATGCAGCTCCATTGTCGAGCGAAGGAGGCTCCACTATGCTCGTTCTTTCGCAGCGAGGATGAACGATATTAGAAATAATTATCCAGCGGCTGGAGAACCGGCAAGCGGTTCGCTTCCAGTCGTTTACCCGTCGTCAGAGGCGAACGGGGATTTTTTCGCGAGATCGCGGCTCGTTACGCGCATCGCGGGATCAACGTCACGTAATTAAATGGCGCCGCGC